GAGAGAGAGAGAGAGAGAGAGAGAGAGAGAGAGAAGGAGGGGGAACAAGGAAGGCAGTAAGTTGACCGTGCTATCTCTAATTTTTGTCAGCAAACACACAAACATATATAAATATGCACAGGGAATGGAAAACAAAAAAAAATTATTAAAAAGAAAAAGGGTAAAAGATAAGAATTATGGAGAAAATAAAAGAAGGCGTGAAATTCTGGGAGATTTATTTTTTCATTTTTTTTTATTTATAATTTATATTTGGAAGGGGAGGTGCAGTTGCAAAAGCGACGTGTCAATGATGAGATAATGAGAGGTGCGTGTCATTAACACTTGTGTGTGTGTGTCTCCCTTTCTATCTATCTTTGCATTCCTATTTCCTTTTTTTACCTACACTTTGTTCACATACTACTCAGGCGAAGTCGGTCCCCCACCCTCTCTTTTGCATTTCCTCACATTCATTCCCTCCCCTCTCTCAAATGCACACACTAACACAGCCACAAAATTTAATTTGAAGGATTTTTGACAAGATATTCGTGCATGGTGACTTACAAGACATGGGAATTTAGTTTCCGTTTTCAAAGTTGAACGAGAAGATTTGTAAACTGTCGATTTTTTATGAACCTACATATTGTTCATACTTTTGTATATATTCTAGTTTCACAAGTTTTGGTCATAGAGCAAGCTATTCCATTACTATTCATACAATTATCTTATAGGTTTTATCATTGAGAGCTCGTGAATTTTTGTTGGAGTTATCACTCCCATGCACATATGCATATTATCTTCTAGTCATTTTATCTTATAGAGTTCGGTTTTTCTTGTTTCTTTTTGGCTTTCTAAGTCGGGTGTACGTTTCTTTTAGTTGGTACGTTTATGTGGCTTCTTAAGCTTATGAGGAACGACGTCATTTCCTTTATTGAGCATGTAACATGTGTGTGTACGTACACTACATATTGTCGTTTTCTTCCTTTGCATCTGATGAGATATGAAAGATGGGGATTTTCTCGATTGAGTGTTCTTAAATTTCATAATGGTACCAGAGCAGCTTTCCTGGTATATATAGCTACGAAGAGATTGTTAGATTTTGATTAAGTTTTGTCCCACATCGGATGTATACCAAAGATGTGTAGGATCTTATTAGTATAAATAGGTCCCTTGCCTTTGGGTTACAATTGCACCTTATTCTATTCTCTCCTATTTAGAAGGAAATCCTTAATTAAGAAAATGCTATTTTGTGGATTATTTAACCTTAGTTGTATTTTGTTGGTGAGTTTAGTAAATTTGGCGTTGCGGTTGGGGGTGCCCGGAGACGTAGGCTATTTTCGCCGAACTCCGTTATCAACTTTTGTATTCTTTTATTTCTCGTCTTTTATTTGTGTTGGCTTATTTTGGAGTAGTGTTTGCCATATTTGTTGGAGGGGTATTTTTGTCCGCTGCGCTTGTTGTGGTACCCCAACAAGTGGTATCAGAGCCGAAGGTTCGTCCCAAGCTCATTTGGAAAGGCGAGCACTGCATTCGAGTTCGAGATGTCCAAGGAGGTCAAGGGCGCATCATCCTCTGCATTCATTCCGGCAAGGACGGTAATGCCGAACGTCAGACTCCTGGTGGAGATCTTCGACGGGACCGGTCATTTCGGCATGTGGCAAGGCGAGGTGCTGGATTGTTTATTTCAGCAAGGCGTCGACATTGCGATTGAAAAGGAGAAGCCAACAGACGTAGAAGAGAAGGACTGGAAGAATATCAACCGCTTAGCATGTGGAACAATTCGTTCGTGTTTGTCGAGGGAGCAGAAGTATGCGTTCAAGAATGAGAACTCTGCTCACACTTTCTGGAAGGCTTTGGAGGATAAATTTCTGAAGAAAAGCGGCCAGAATAAGCTCCGCATGAAGAAGCGATTGTTCCATTTTGAGTACCGGCATGACACATCGATGAATGATCACGTCACTGCATTCAATCAGTTAGTTGCAGATTTGTTTAACTTGGACGTCACATTCAGCGATGAAGATTTGGCTCTTATGTTGTTATCATCACTTCCAGATGACTTCGAGCACTTAGAGACTACTCTGCTCTATGGGAAGGACGATGTAACTATTGCAATGGTCAGTTCTGCTCTGTATAGCTACGAGTTGAGGAAGAAGAACAAACAAGAGACGAAGAATGTAGCAGCAGAAGATGAAGCATTGGTTGCAAGAGGTCGGTCGAAGAGCCAAAAGAAGAATGGACGAGGAAGATCACGTTCCGAAGCCAAGCTTGAAAAAGACGATTGTGCTTTCTGCCTTGAGAAGGGACACTGGAAGAAAGACTGTCCTAAGTTGAAAAAGAAGAGCAAATCTCCTCAAGATGCATATGTTGCTGAGGGTGGAAGTGAAGACTCAGAATTTTCACTTGTGGTTTCACCTTCATCATCTCATCCAGACGAATGGATTTTGGATTCAGGATGCACCTACCATATGTCTCCCATAAGGGAGTAGTTCTTCAATTTTCAGGAGATCAATGGAGGGGTTGTAAATATGGGTAATGATAATGCCTGTAAGACAACTGGGATAGGTTCAATCCGTCTGAAGAATCGCGATGGTTCCACCAGAGTTTTGACGGATGTTTGGTACGTGCCGAGTTTGAAGAAAAACCTCATCTCATTAGGAGCCTTGGAATCCAAAGGATTGATAGTGACTTCGCGAGATGGAGTTATGAAAGCTACATCCGGCTCGCTCATGGTGATGAAAGGCATAAGGAGGAATAATTTGTATTACTATGAAGGTGATATAGTCGTTGGGACAGTAACCGTAGCAGATTCTACCAAAAAGAAGTCTGAGGCAGTCAAGTTGTGGCATATGCGTTTGGGACATACTGGTGAAAAGTCCTTGCAAACATTGGCAAAACAAGGACTGTTGAAAGATGTCAAAGTGTGCAAACTAGACTTTTGTGAGCACTGTGTTTTGGGAAAGCAGAAGAGAGTGAAGTTTGGAACGGCTATCCATAATACCGAAGGTGTCTTGGATTATGTTCATTCGGATGTTTGTAAGACCCCATCATTAGGCGGAAAACGCTATTTTGTCACTTTCATCGATGACTTTTTCAGACGTGTTTGGGTGTACACTATGAAGACGAAGGATGAAGTGCTTGGTGTCTTCATTACATGGAAGACACAAATTGAGAACCAGACTGGAAGGAAGATCAAGGTCCTACGAATGGACAATGGTGGAGAATATACAAGCAATCCCTTTCAAGAAGTTTGTCGTAAAAATGGCATTGTTAGGCACTTCACCGTTAGACGGAAGCCACAACAAAATGGGGTGGCGGAGCACATGAATCGAACATTGGTGGAGAAAGTTCGATGTATGTTGTCCAATGCTGGTTTGGGCAAGGAGTACTGGGCTGAGGCTGTAACATACACGCAACACCTCATAAATCGTTTGCCATCATCTGCAAAAGATGGTAAAACACCATTGGAGGTATGGTCGGGGAAACCTGTTGCTGACTATGGATCTTTACATGTCTTTGGGTGTCCTACGTTCTATCATATGAAGGATTCAAAGTTAGATCCAAGAGCGAAAAAGGCTTTGTTCATGGGAATCACAATTTGCGTGAAGAGATATCGTCTTTTGTGTCTTGAGACGAACAAAACTGTGTTTAGCAGGGATGTTACATTCGATGAACAAAGTATGATAAAGACGACGCAAACCCAACAGGTGGAGTTGACACCGAAGCAGGTGGAGATAGATGCGATGACGAGACAACCAGCTATGATCGACGAAACAATATCAAACGATTCGTCGGAAAATGAAGTTCAGAATCATGAATCATTAGATTTACCCATTGCATTGAGAAAGCCCAAATGAGAGATTCAACAACCTGCTCGATTGGCGGATATGGTGGCTTATGCACTTCCAATTGTTGATGATGACATACCTTTCACTTTTCAAGATGCAATTCGAAGTTTAGAAAATGAGAAGTGGAAGTGGGCTATGGAGGAAGAAATGTTGTCCCTCCAGAAGAATCAAACTTGGAAGATGACACAACTACCAAAAGGCAAGAAGGCGATAGGATGCAAGTGGGTATTTGCAAAGAAAGATGGATTTCCTCATAAGAATGATGTGCGCTACAAGGCAAGGTTAGTGGCTAAAGGCTACGCTCAGAAGGAAGGAGTTGATTATAATGAAGTGTTTTCTGTAGTTGTTAAACACTCTTCCATTAGAATTTTGTTGGCCTTAGCAACACAGTTGGATTTAGAGCTAGCTCAACTTGACGTGAAGACGGCATTCTTACACGGAGATTTGGATGAGGAAATCTACATGACTCAGCCAGAAGGATTCAAAATTCTTGGAAAAGAGAATTGGGTCTGTAAGTTGAACAAATCGTTGTACGGACTGAAGCAACCTCCGAGGCAGTGGTACAAACGGTTTGATAAGTTCATGATTGGGCAGAAGTACACGCGAAGCAGACATGATCATTGTGTGTATTTACGCAAGCTGCAAGATGGATCTTTCATTTACTTACTCTTGTATGTGGATGACATGTTGGTTGCATCAAAGAGCCAAGTGGAGATTGATCAATTGAAGGATCGGTTGAATCAAGAGTTTGAGATGAAAGACTTTGGGGAAGCTAAGAAGATACTCAGGATGGAGATAAGCAGGGACAGAATGAGAGGCAAGCTTTGTTTGACTCAGAAGCAATATCTGAATAAGGTACTACAACGTTTCATCATAAAAGATGAGTCGAAGCCAGTAAGTACACCACTTGCCCCTCATTTGAAGTTAAGTGCCCGATTGTCGCGAAAT